CAAAAGATAATCACATGACCCGGGATACTGCAACCATCATCAATATGAGTCAGTTGCCAGGCATCTGAATATAAATCATGTGACCATGGGGTTGCTGCACAATGGTCATAAGTCACCTTTTTCAGTGCCATTGTAACTTCAAATGGTAACTAAGCAAATTTTTGTAAGTCGAGGACTACCTGTGTATGAAAAAATAATAGTTTGCAGGTATTATCTTGATTTATTTACTTACAGTATTAAGGGATAACCCAAAATTAAACACATCTAAGCCTGGTTTGGGATCAACTAGATCATTCTTAACATTATTATTTTTAACAGTGCAGTTCAAAACAAACTATTTCTAAACTTTTATGGAATAAAAAGTTTTATTTGCCTCAGAGGGCTTACTGGCAGCTCACTGATTTTAAATATCTGTTATTCTGCTTATTTTTCACCAGATACTATTGCTGCTTCCAAAATTCTACAATACTTAGTATTTTGGAGGCATTAACTGTGGTTTCCCACCTGGTAATGCTATTTGAAGTTGAAATAAGTTGGTGAAATTGGTATGATTTATGTGATTTCTGTAATAATGAACAAAATGTGTTGTCTTGGTAAATCAGTGGTAGGTCAGCAGAAACTATATGAAATTGATTTAAAATGAGGTTAAATGTAGCAAAAAGGTATTTCACAGCTATTGGACATGTTAGATAATGTCTAAAGTGCAGCTCAGGAATTAGAACATTACTTCATATGGCTTTGCCTTGCCCTATTGAATTATTATTTGGGACTGATTTACTCTATATAGAAGTATTACTATCTAAAGCTGTATATATTCTCAAATTTATTTATTTGTTCAACTTGTATGCCGCCTTTCTCCGAAGACTCAAGGCGGCTTACAATGCATTTAAAAACCATATATAAAAACATTAAAAATTAAAACATTAAAAACAATTAAAACCCATTCACATCATTCATGGCCGGATCTCACCAGATCGCAACAGCGAGATCAACGGCCCAGGCCTGCTGGAAAAGCCAGGTCTTCACTGTTTTTTGGAAGGCCAATAGGGTGGGGATGGTCCAGATCTCAGGAGGTAACTGGTTCCAGAGAGCTGGGGCAGCCACAGAGAAGGCCCTCCCCCGCGGGCCCGAGAGTTGGCACTGTTTAGCTGACGGGACCTGGAGACCAACTCTGTGGGATCTTACCAGTCACTGGGAGCTATGCGGTAGAAGGCGGTCTCGAAGATAACCTGGCCCTGAGCCATGTAGGGCTTTAAAGGTAATAACCAACACTTGAATTGTGACCGGAGACCAATAGGGAGCCAGTGCAGCTCGCGTAGAATTGGTGTAATGTGGGTATACCTAGATGCACCCACGACAGCTTGTGCGGCTGCGTTCTGGACCAACACTTTTCAAGGGTAGCCCCATGTAGAGCGTGTTGCAATAATCTAACCCTGAGGTGACAAGGGCATGAGTGACTGTGAGGAGAGCCTCCTGATCCAAGTAGGGTCGCAATTGGTGCACCAGGCGAACCTGTGCAAAGGTCCCCCTAGCCACAGCTGACAGATGTTGCTCTAATCTTAGCTGTGAGTCTAGGAGGACACCCAAATTGCGAGCCCGTTCTTACATTAAATATTTAATGTAATGAACACACCAGGAAATGTTCATTTGGGTGACATTGGGATTGCTACTAACTTTGAAGTATATTAGTATTATTAATGTTAGTATATTAGTACTATTGTCATAGATCTGTAAACTTATGAATTAGTTTAATGTATGTACATGTTGTTGTGGCCCCGCCCTCTGAGCCTATCTCATCGGAGGAAGAAGGCTCCGAACATGAGGGAGAGGAGTCAGCCAGGCCTCCCTCTCCAGGCCCCTCCCCTCTGGCACTGTCTCAGGTGCCGGCCGAGGGAGAGGAGATTAGCCAGGAGCCAGGTGTCTCTGATGAGGGCGAGGAAGGAGAGCCGTCGTTCCTGGATGCACGCCAACGAAGGCGTGATAAACGGTTGCAGCAGTTAAGGAGGCTTGCTAGGGATTAGAACTGAGTCACTGGACCACACCCCAGAGGGTGGTGGCTGGTAAAACTCCGTGACGAACAAAAACTAACTTTGGCTAGTCACTTGAACAACGCCTGAAGCTGCCGAAGGGATATTGTTTTGCTGGACTATTTGCAATGCGTATGTAATGTTATGTTATCTGTTGCAGTAAAAGCTCTTGGCAGACGGTGCTTATATTGTTGCCAAGTTTGAGATAACGACCTGTGTGCGTGCCAAGTACTTTCTTAACCCTCGGCTGGCTGTGTTTGTGTGTGTGTGTAGACGGGGACAGATCACATGTAATCCTTGTTTAGCAACTGCAATTGGGTCCAGCAACCTGATCATTAAGCAAGGCTGTCACTAAGTGAAAAATCATGTGACCACAACTGGACTTACAATTTTACTTCAGCTTTTCTTCACTTTATCAGCAGTGTCAAACTGGCGGCCAGCGGGCCGGATGCATCATGTGCAGGCCACGCCCACCCCAGCTCCACGAATGGGAAAAACATTGCAAAACATTGTGACAGCAATGTGATGCAGCAGGTTTACACTCATGCTTTACATTGTCAGATACGACCCCAAAGAGCCAGGTGAGCAGGGAAGGTTTTCCAGCACTCAAGTCAAAGGGAAATCAGGTAAAAGGGCAAATGTTACAGAATGTTTTCCCCATTCCTCATCCTTTGGAATTCTCACTCCAGCACTGGGAAAATTAGCAAGAAGGGAATTAATGTTTGTATTTAATCAGGAACACAGTGGGAAAGGAATATGCTAGCTCCAGCTGTTTGCCTCAAGCCATTAATACCTTAGGAGGCAAAGAAAAGCCTTTAGTGTGAAACTGATTAGGGTCTTGTCAATTTCAGGCATCAGATGGCAGCCTGCAGATTCTAATCAACTAATTAAGGTCACAAACTTGAACTCGTTAACTTGTGGTTAGCACTTTTTTTTAAGGGACATGCTGTGCTCTGGAGAAAAGCAGCTCTAGATAGCTCATTTAGACCATAAGGAGGGGGCTGAATGGTCAGGCATAGGACTATGCAATATTGTACTGACTGTAATGGTGAACATGTGGCTGAGACAGATGCTGCAAAAGTCATAAACGCTGGTTGCAAAGTTATGTTTTCATCAGCACTGTAATTGAATGGTTGGTCTCCAAGGCAGTCACTAAACAAGGACTCCCTATACTTTAAAAGTGAACCATGTTTCTTTCAAGTGTTATAAATGCTAGGGGGCATCTTGTTTTCACTGTTTGCCACTGTGATTTATCGCTGTCTTTAGCTTTTGAAAAGATTTAATCAGGAGAAATGTGAAGTTCTGAATCTGAATAGGAAAAATGGAAGGCACAAGTATAGGAAGGAGAAGAACTGGGTTTTGAAAAGGATTTGGCTGTTCTTATTGATTAGAAGTTAAACTTGAGTCAATACCTTGATGCACTTGCTAAAAAAGGCATAACAACTTGTTAAATACTTACAAAAACATAGAATCCAGATCATAGGAAGGAACTGTTCTATTGTGCTCCACCCTTCAGACACCACTTCAAAAACTGTATCTAGTCCTTGCTACCACAGTTGCACAAACTGGAGCAAATTAAGAGCAGACTAGCAAGATATTGAGGGATCTAGAAACCAAACAGCATCAAGAATCCAAGATTCTAGATATGTTTAATATATAAGAGACCTGAGATATGACAATGGTCAGTTAAGTCTTTGAAGGATTGATACATAGAAGGGGTATAGACTTATTCTCTATTGCTTCAGAAGAAGGTTACAGTTTCAAGGAATTAGATCTAGGGTAGATGTAAACTTGAGCTGCTAGTTGGGATTTCTGCAGTGATGAAATATAAAATTTGTTACTACCGGTTCTGTGGGCGTGGCTTGGTGGTGGTGGGTAATGTGACTGAGTGGTCGTGGCCAACTTTTTTAAAAATTATTTTTAAAAGCATTTTTTCTACCACCTCTTCGGCTGAAGGTTGTAAAAAAATGCTTTTAAAAGCCTCTGACGATCCCAGCTGAGCCGCGTGATCATCAGAGCCTTTTTTTTTACTTTTAAAAGCATTTTTTCGGCCAAAGATGTTGTAGAAAAAATGCTTTTAAAAATTCAAAAAAAAGCCTCTGATGATCGTGTGGCTCAACTGGGCATGGAGGGAGGGCAGGGATTTTTGCTACTGGTTCTCCGAACCACCCGCCACCATCGTTACCGGCTTGGGCGATCCGGTCTGAACTAGGAGCATTTCACCCCTGGATTTCTGGGAGTGGAAGTCTACACATCATAAAATTGCCAAGTCTGAAAACCACTGTCTACGATCCAGGATTGAACAGATGGTTGGGACTACATATTTTTTTTTACAATCTTTACGACTCTATATCTAAATTATTCTATATCTAACTCAGGGTAGGAACACTGCAATGTATGCAATTGTCACAACCCAGTTCTGAGAAGAAACCCAAGTAAGCTTAATAGTTTTGAAAGCCTCTTGAGACAACGAAAGCTATTCGAGAAATCTTAAGGATCAACTAAGTACATTTCGCTCTAGCTTTATTTTTCTTTTTTCCAAAATGGCATGCTTTGATATAGAATTAAAAATTATATCTGTAATCTAGACATACATTTATATTTTAGATTTTACATTCCATATTTTGAATTATCTTGTGTTTCTATCTAAATGTGATGTAAATGTGCCATACAATAAATAAATATAGAATTAGCACTATCCAAAAAAAAAAACCTAGCTGAGTCTCTCTCATTCTCTCTCTCTCACACACACACAACACATACCCTCACACACTCACAAAAATTTTTTGATCTTAATATTAGAAACAACTCTGGCATAAATCATTGGCCAGAATTGTGGACAGCTTTTCTGAGACATGATGCAAAGTGCTGTAAAAAGAAAGGTTAATGTCCATTATATAACACACCCTTTGAATTCCAGATTGTGAAAGGGGGTGCTTCTTTAACTCTACAGATCAATAAGGTAGCAAACTAGTTTATAAATTAGACAAATTTAATTTTCGTTACACTGCAATAATGTGTCATATGGAGATATTTCCTGAGTTTATCCAATGCTTTCACAGTTAACCACGGAGTACATTACAAATGTAACAGCAATTTAACAGTATTTAAAAACCAACATTATTAAATGTACAATATATAAAAACCTTAAGCGCAGCACCCTTTGTACATGTTTTTATCATCACTACTAACTTAAAAGTGTATAAAACATAGAAATTATATTTAAAGGCAGAGCGTGAAGTTATTTGACAGGCAAATTTTGGAAAACCTCAGTATTCTTCTAAAGTTGTTGGATTTATCTTCCTACTCCATCGGTATTAATACTGATCTTCAAATATTAGATAATTCCTGCTTTATGTAATGCACTGGCCTAAATTTCCAATTTTTTATTTTTTTAATGAATTTCCATGAGATGAATAGCTTTCCAAAGATTTGTAAGATGTTCAATTCCTAAATGTAAGTTTAAAATGACTATTGTAATCATGAGTGATCGCATGAGAATTTAGCCACAATTGTACACTGTATTTTAAAATAAAAACCTGACTTTGCAGTCCTAAGTTGTCTTGCCATCTAACATTTACACTGAACTAGGTCTTCCAAGGTTCAAGTTGTAAGACTGCTTAATTGATGTATATATGTGTATGTGTGTGCATTTCTCTCTCTCTCTCTCTGAATGTGTATGAGAGGCCTAACATTAATGCATGAGCAATTATTTGCAACTGATAATGGAAAAATCTGGCTATAGAAATCCCTTTCTCCACTTTCACTTTTACTGTCCTTATATAAGATAAACTATGGAATATACGTCTCAACAGCAAGAACCACTCCAAGTCTATGCTGATTTGTCCAGCTCTATATGGATCTAGCTGCTTGCCTACAGAGATAGGAAAACTGATCAAAATGGCACATACTTAAATATTTCACAGTTAACAATTAAGTGCTTTTTTCTCAAGTATTCAAGGTGACCAGAAAAAGGAAAGGCCTCCTGAGTGCATGTGTGTGTCAGCCACTTGCTCTATTTTCAAGTTGAACAGGAACTGTAATTATTTTAACTTTAAAGAGACCATCACTTTAACTGTGATGGTCTCCAATAGCAGATGCGGAATAATGATTCAAATGATGACTCAAAAGACCAAGGATGATGGACTGGCATCAAATCCCTCTCTTGGTTCCATGCTTACAGTATGGGAACAAATCAAGGAGGTATTTTTTAAATGCGCTCATTCCTTGTTTTAAAGGTAATGAAATGGAGGTTCATGCTTCATTCTCTGCCAAAGTTTAGCAAGGAGATCATTCTTTACTAGCTCTTCAGCTCCAAGATCTGTCGTTTTTTATTGTAGACAGTTTCTTAAAAAAATGCCTCACATTATCAATGCACTTTCATGTACTCTACCTTTTCTGATGAAAGGAAGGAAGGAAGGAAAAAAAGGAAACTCCAGATTAAATAACCTTCATTCTTAAAATAGACACCCCGGTAATATTATAAAGGGTAACAACATTAGATGCAACCCCAACAGTAATGAATTATTATTAATGTCCTTTGAAGTTTAACTCAAACTATTAATAGACAAAGAAAGCTAAAAAAAAAAAAAAACCAGAACAATGAAGTTTCTCTAAAAGAAACCCATTACAATTTTTTGTGACTGCAAGTAGGGACTTGGAGTGGTAAAAATACTGAAAGATCCCTCAATACCCTTTAAATTCGGAGTTCTATTAGTTCCAAGGCTTGGCAATAGAGATATATCCTCTGGTTTTGGACGGGAGTGTGCAAATATTGCCTAAGTGGTTTGTTATATTGCAACAGAGCAGCAATTTTATCTAAGAACTTCACAGAATTCAAAGCATTTATTTAAAAAAAAAATCCAAAGAAACTGTCCTTTACATCATTCTCCTCCAAGTTTTGTTCTAAAATTTCTTTGTTGTAAAGAAACTAATACTAATACTGTGTTTCCTCGAAAATAAGACCCTCTCTTATATTTTGTTGAACCCTGAAATAAGCGATTGGGCTTATTATCAGGGGATGTCTTATTTTGGGGGAAACAGAGTATACTGATTGGTGATGAGTACCTTACCACAATTATAACCAATGCTAACCTTGAATTAATAAACATAAAATGTACATTAAAGAGCTGCCTGAGGAGCTGGCTGGAAGTCACTGGATTTGGTAGCCTGGGCCATGGCTCTACGTTTGGCAAGGCGGGATTTAGAGGGAGGAGAAAGCTTCATGGAGCACATGGCCTGTGTGAGGCTTTCCTGTTCGTCACTGAGTTGATTTTCATGCTGGGAGAGTTGGCGGTTCAGAGCAATAGCTTCAGCGGCAAAAAGAGTCAACTCTTTTGTGCTGCTGTTCCTGCGGGAAAATTAAGAAAAGAAAATTAGTTTATACCAGAGGAACTAACAATCTAATTGTGAAGCCCATCAGAAAAGCACAAGTTGTCTCTTCATTACCTTCCTTATAATCAAGTTAATTTTGTGATTCATCTCCAAACAAGAAGTGATGGGAACAATTAATGGCTCTTCAGACCCAAGAAACAATGTTTTCTGGGAAAGTTTTACCAATTAATACAACCCTCTGCTTTCTCTCAAAATTCCTCTGATTGCAATGGATCTATCTTCTAAGCCAGTGTTTCTCAACTTGGTTTAAAAAATGGATCCACTGCAATTTTTTTCAACCTTGGTAATTTTAAGACTTGTGGATTTTGACTAGTGGTGGGATTCAATTTTTTTTACTACCAGTTCTGTGGGCATGGCTTGGTGGTATGGCAGGGGAAGGATACTGTAAATTCTCCATTCCCATCCCACTCCAGGGACTCCTGATCAGCTGAGACTCAGGAGGCAGAGAATAGATGGGGCGGGGCCAGTCAGAGGTGATATTTACTGGTTCTCCGAACTACTCAAAATTTCCACTACTGGTTCTCCAGAACTGGTCAGAACCTGCTGAATACCACCTCTGATTTTGACTCTCAGAATTCCCTAAGCAGTGTGGCAGGATGGGGAATTCTGGGAGTTGAAGTCCACACATCTTAATGTCGCTAACATTGGAAACAGTTCTAATCACTTTTTCAATTCATTATGACAAACTTCTAGAAGAGCTTACCTTTGAAGAACCTGGGGTGTAGGTAAGCCTCTTTCAGAAGCATGCTGAAAGCAACAAAAAAGTTGCAGTATAAGCGAAGCAACCCTGGAGAAAATCTTTACTAATCAAAGGATACTCAATCTTCACAGTTCATTACTTTGAACACTTTTCTGAATAAGTCATATTTTAACAGCAAGATGTTATGTTGGCTGACTAGATATTGGCAATTACAATGTCCAAACAAGAAATGTTTATTAAAGAACAATATATTTATATTAACAGAAATTGGTTCTTCTAGTGCCAAACAACCTTTTGCTACTCAAACGAAAATTTTAAGTACTCAGTAATAAAGAATATTTGTAGATATAGGAAACCAATAGCAGACCCACTGTTTTACTTAGCTAGAATAAGAAAGGTCTCTGCACTGGGAGATTGTTTGTATCATTGCAAGCCATTAGGGATCTGGACTCATGTGGTTTAAAACAGCATCATTGTTTTCACATTTTTCCCCATCATAGATATGACAGCTGTTTTCAAATTATTAGAGGGCACCACTTACACCTTGTACCCAGGGATGTTTTAGAACCTGGGCAGCGCCAAGCCTCAGTTTGGCATCACGAACCAGGAGCTTTGAGATGAGATCTTTGGCTTGACTGGAGATACCAGACCAATCCTTGTCAGGGAACTCATACTTGCCTTCCTGGATACTCTCAAAAAGCTTATTCTATGAGGGAAAAAAAGTATATTGGGTTTTTTTCAGAGGCTGAGAGTTCAGAATTAAAATTTCAATTTTTTTTCCCAGTCCACAAAATAATGTTACTTATTTAAAACCTATTTAGAGCTCCCCATCACTGCCTCCCACTATGCAGATGAAACTTTGGAAATATTTTTGCCATATCTTTGCACTTAAAACTCCTTAGCTTTTAAGGAAAACTGCATTTCCCTGTTTCTCAGAATGTATTTTAAAATATATTCACAAATATTTTTTAATATTTTATATTAAATATTTTATTTAATATTTAAATGGATTACAGTTTTTTTTAAAAAAATATTATTTCCCCTCTACATGCAACAAAGGTCAAAACTGGGAATCGTAGGAAATATACTTTTAGTACAATTCTTGAGAACACAAGACTGGAAAACTTGCTCTGAATATAAAACCTTCATATTCATTATGAGCTTATAAATTCAAATTGAAAACAGCTTTAATTGCCTTCATTCCTCAAGTCCATAGATGTCTCAGAGGATATCCAAATAGTTTTAAAGAAGCTCAATGAAACCTGCTACATCAGAGGAGGGAAACAATGGCTTGTTTTTATGACTTGTGGACTTCGACTCCCAGAATTCCTGAGCGTGGAATTCTCGGAGTTGAAGTCTATAAGTAATAAAGGGGCCATAGTTTCCCACCTCTGTGCTACATTATTACATGTCCAAAATATACTGATTACCTGACAAACTTTGCAGACTTCTCCCCTGTCCCAGCCACAGTCTGTACCACAATTACCCACAAATGGAGGATAGCCACTTAGCATGATATACAAAATCACACCTAGGCTCCACAGGTCGCACCGCTTGTCATAGAATGTGGCTTCTTCTGTGAAGACTTCCACCACCTCTGGCGCCATGTACTCTGCAGACCCACACTAGCAAGATACAGAACTCGTATAAATAAAAATAAATAAATAAATAATTTTATTTCTATACCGCCCTTCTCCCGAAGGACTCAGGGCGGTGTACAGCCTATTAAAAGCACAAAGACAGACTAATTTCAGCTCAGATTTAAAACCCCAAAAATTTAAAACACCCAATTTAAAATCATTACATTGATAGCCCAGCCTGGTGGAACAGCAGGGTCTTGAGGGCACAGCGAAATACACGGAGGTCGGTGATCTTACGCATTTCCAGGGGCAGTTCATTCCACAGGGCAGGGGCTCCCACAGAGAAGGCCCTCCCCCTGGGTGTCGCCAGCTGACATAACTTGGCCGATGGCACCCTGAGGAGACCCTCTCTGAGGGAGCGGACTGGCCAGTGGGAGGCTATTGGTGGAAGAAGTTGGTCTCGAAGGTACCCGGGTCCTATGCCATGGAGCGCTTTAAAGGTGGTGACCAGCACCTTGAATTGCACCCGGAAGACCACTGGGAGCCAGTGCAGCTCGCGCAGGAGGGGTGTCACATGGGCACAACGAGTTGCGCCCATAACCATCCGCGCAGCCGCATTGGAGCCTCCAAGTGCTCTTCAAGGGGAGCTCCATGTAGAGAGCATTACAGTAGTCCAGCTGGGAGGTGACAAGGGCGTGAGTGACCGTGTGCAAGGCGTCCCGGTCCAGAAAGGGCTGCAACTGGCGAATCAGGCGAACCTGATAGAAAGCCCCTTTGGCCACGGCCATCATATGCTCTTCTAAAGACAGCCGTGCGTCCAGGAGGACACTCAGATTGCGAGCCCTCTCTGTGAGGGGCAGAGATTCACCCCCAATAGTCAGTGATGGCACCAGCTGACTATATCGGGACGCCGGAAGCCACAGCCACTCGGTCTTGGAAGGGTTGAGTCTGAGCCTATTTCTCCCCATCCAGACCCGCACGGCCTCGAGGCAGCGAGACATCACATCAAGGGCATCGTTGGGGTGGTCTGGGGTGCAGATGTACAGCTGAGTGTCATCAGCGTACTGATGGACTCTCACCCCAAAACCACGGATGATCTCACCCTGCGGTTTCACATAAATGTTGAATAGAAGGGGCAAGAGGACCGACCCTTGCGGCACTCCCCATGCAAGGCGCCTCGAGGTCGACCTCTGCCCCCCCTGCCAACACAAACTGCAAACGGTCGGAGAGGAAGGAGGAAAACCACCACAGGACGATGCCCTCTATTCCTAACCCCCTCAACCGTTGCAGCATGATACCATGGTCGATGGTATCAAAAGCCACTGAGAGATCTAATAGGACCAGGACAGAGGAGCAACCCCTGTCCCGAGAACTCCAGAGATCATCCACCAATGCGACCAATGCCGTTTCTGTGCTGTACCCCTGCCTGAAGCCCGACTGGTACGAGTCCAGATAGATAGCTTCATCCAGGTGCCGGGGAAGCTGTCGTGCCACCACACTCTCAACAACCTTTGCCACAAAACAAAGGTTGGAGACCGGACGGTAGTTAGCTAATTCAGCCGGGTCCAGGGAAGGCTTCTTGAGGAGGGGCCTCACCACCGCCTCTTTCAAGACGGCGGGAAAGGCACCCTCAATCAAAGAAGCATTTATAATCCCCTGGAGCCAGCCTTGTGTAACCTCCCAGGAGGCCAGTACCAACCAGGAGGGACACGGGTCCAATAAACACGTGGTGGCACTAATCTTACCCAGAACCCTGTCCACATCCTCGGGAGCCACAGGATCAAACTCCTCTCAGATAATATTCTCAAGACCTACCCTCGTCTCCTCCCCTGGACTCATCCAGTCGGAGTCCAAGCCTTCCCAAATCCGAGCAACTTTATCATGCAGGAATTGCACAAAATCCTCAGCTCGACCCTGAATCAGACTGTATCAGACAGTTGCAGAAAAGGAAGCATTCACAGCACAGGTAGTCCTTGCTTAATGACTGCCTCATTTAGTGACCATTCAAACCGTGTAAAATAAACAGCTTTGCAACCCCCTCGCACTGATGCTACTCTCACAGCATCCTGTGATCACGTGACTACCGTTCACATGTTTCACAACCAGCTTCCAACAAGAATGGAGAACCTGGAACTAATGCTGCAAGTGGTGGTCACATGATATCTCACTTAATGACCCCAATGACTCATTTAATGGCTGTGATTTATGGAAGTGATTCCATAAGCCCGATGTGATCATACAATTTTCTGCTTAATGACGACAGTGCTTCGCAATGGAGCTGCTGCTTCCAATTGTAGTCATTAAGGGAGACTACCTGTGCCGTTAATACATAACTTTTTTTGGAAAGGCGGATCCACCCAAAACCCTGCATGTAGTACCCATGCTTAAGATCAATGCACTGCAGTTCACTGAGTGACCGTTCACAGCATTAAAAAAGTGACTTATGACCATTTTTCACATTTACGACTGTTGCAGCATCCCCATGGTCACATGATCAAAATCCAGATGTTTGGCAACTGGTTCATATTTATGACGGTTGCAGCGTGCTGGGCTCATGTAATCAGTTTTTGCGAACTTCTGACAAGCCAAGTCAATTTAACGACTGCAGTGATTCACTTAACAACTGTGGCAGGAAAGGTCGTAAAAGAGGGCAAAACTCACTTAATGAATGTTTCACTTAGCAACATAAATTTTGGACTCAATTGTGATTATAAGTTGAGGACTACCTGTTATTACAAATTATATGATTAGTAACATCTCATAGCTATTTGGAGTGACTATTTTTCCCCATAAAGCTGGCAGAGTATTAAACCCAATGCAGGAAATTCTGCTGCTGTTAATTTTAAATCAGTATCAGTTTAGTAGCAGAATACTGGCAGATGCTGAAGAAGTCCAGAAGGATGGAGGAAGGAAGGGACGATCTAAGTCAGGGATAGCCAACCTTGGCAACTTTAAAATCTGTAGACTTCAATCTCCAGAATTCCCCAGCCAGCATATAAAGATTCCAAAGTTAGACACCCCTGATGTAATCAGTTCTATCCAAGTTTCTGTGATTATTATCCAAGTTACTGTGATTATTACTGTGATTATTATTTCTCATTGATTTAAAGCAGTTATCTCTCTGGAGATAACTACACAACTCATTCAGTCTAACCCTGGCAGATAAGAGATTCCCAGACCCAGACACGCTGTAGCGTAAATTTAATTCATATTTTGTAGCACAATACAAACTGAATATTTTTAAAGCCAAGATTTTTTTTAAAAAAGTGAGGGCAGCATTTCACACTTTATGGAAATAAGCATAAGATTGCTGGTTTACCTCCCACAACCCTGGCAATAAACTATGGCACAGTTGCTGGGCAACAGCAAGAATTATCAGGACGCAAAAATGAAATTGAGAATGTTAATTTGTAGATGTCTCAGTATAGAGTACTTGAATATACGCACAATTTTAGAATGTTTTTTTGCGTAGTAACAAACAGTTGGCTTGGTGATACAACTCAACCTTGCAGATTTTAATTAAATGCAAATATACCCATTATCACCCCAAACCTCTGCAAGTCAAGTTCTGTGATTAGTTGGGTCAGGCAATGCATAAAAGCTGTTTTAAATACATAGTTTAAAATTCTTGCAACTCTCTTTGAAATGTCTTGTCCAATATGAAGTGACTTATTCTAATACCGTTTCATATTCACTCATTTCCAAAGTTTAATCTCTCCCAAACCTTTAATGTTTGGTCAAGGAGTTTTGGAGAAACATATACAGTAAACCATGTTCCAGGGACTTTATACCCACGATTCCATACCATGTGTTGCAACCATCTGATAGCAATAGCACTTGGACTTATATACCGCTTCACAGTGCTTTACAGCCCTCTCTAAGCGGTTGACAGAGTCAGCATATTGCCGCCAGTGTTTCTCAACCACAACAGCTTTAAGATCCCAGAAGTTGAAGTCCACACATCTTAAAGTTGCCGAGGTTGAAAAATACTGAGCTAAACAATGACAAGAAAGAAAACAAGTAAAAGCAAAATCTGAATCCTTCCAATGTGCATTGATAAGGAATTGTTGAGATTGAGGTGCCCAATATATTTGATTATATTTTGTTTTTGAAAATAACACTTCATGTTCTCTCTTCTTAATTCTCTAGTAATTTGATTACCTAGCCAAGATAATGATTTTATTTAGCATGTGCAAGCCATAATTTTGGAATTTGGCGTATGAATATGATGGCTGTTAACAGGTTAACTGTCATTAATCATATGAATAGTTTCAATGTTAAAAAATCTCTGAAATAACTTTGCAAAAGGACTGTTCAATCAGTTCTATTATGCAGCATTAAAGATGCAAGTCTTGTTGGCTACAATAGAATAAACATGATGTAGGACAATAAACCAGTCCGTTTGTAATTTTTCTTATTTATTTGCACTCTCTTGGGTACACTCACAGGGACTTGATACATATGTAATTCTGCTTTTCATACTACCATTTTCAGCTATCTTTAGGTTTCCTGCTTCCTGGTGCGATTCCACTCATTTTCTTATGCTGCCCCTTACTGGATGGAATTGCCCATGACAATTCCCTTTTCTGTCAAACTTTGCATCCATTCAAGGAATCTTTTGGAACAACTTTTTCCTGACACTGAAGTATGTAAAACTGAATGCTTATTCAGCTTACGACACATTTATATCAGCTTCAAACTGCCTATTATCCAGTCAGGGCTTCCTGTATCAGAACTGCAGGGCTTTCCCATATTTTACTCTCAAGTATTCTGCTTATCAAATGAATATATATAATATTTAGCATGAGTAAAGATACCGTGATGGCCCATCATGTCTTTTAGAACAAACAAATACAGTCTGCTTTTTTAGATCAATATTTTCTAAAAACACTGCTAAACTGTGAGAACTTATTATACGAAGACTGTTTACCTGCTTGAGAATACTGCTGTAGCAAGAAAGCATTAAAAAAAACATTTCCAAATATTGTATATATGAAGCCAAATGATACTTTACATTAGGACTAATGTCAAGATTTCCATGATCTTATTGGGAGCTATTTTCTTATAATTTTCAAATCTGAGAAATGCAATTTATAATTTATTATTAGAGTTATTTGCAAACTTGAAATTTACTCTATAATCTATATTATCATCTATAATCACCCCTCAAAAAGTTAGCAAGATGTTGTCTGGAAAATACAATATTGACATGCTTGATATTTCACTTTTTGCAATTCAACTAAACTCCAGCTAGGTTGTGCATCTGAGCAACTCTGCAGCACAACATATTGAATTGTTGCCCTCTGTTTTCACATCATAACCAACTCTTCAAAATACAGGAGCCTACGTACCGGAGTAGTCAGTTCAGGAGTAGAGATTGGAGTACATGCACTGTTGAGTTTCACCCCACTTCCAAGATCAAAATCACAAATTTTTACAGGTGATACCTGAAATGGAGTAAGAAGGAAAAACATATATAAGTCAAATCATTGAGGAAATAAATTAAGCCTAATGAAAAGTAAACAGGTAGAATTACTAAACATAGACACACCTTATTGGGAGATTCACAGAGTATATTCTCAGGTTTTAGATCTCGATGTGCAATACCTAAGAAGTAACACAGAAAGACAATGAGTCATGTCCAAAACAACAATGCCAAAAATAGAGAAAATATTTGCTTTTTGGTGTTTGCAGTAGCTACTAATTCCACTGCACTTAAATCATCTCTTAAAGTTACATTCAAACTTCATGAAATATTCCTGGATATTTTCCAAATAATTGTACAGGAGAAATAATATACATTAGAATAATGGCATTAAAATAATATCTTCACATGAATCTTGAACTCCCACAAATTACATAGTACAATCCAGGCATTTAAGAAGCCTTTCTATAATACAAAAAATGAAATGTATTGGCTAATGGACTATTCTTTATAGCTCTTGATAAGAGATGTATGTATACCTGTAATACTGGTACATTTTTTTAAAGAACAAACAATAAAATATGTTCCCTTCATAAGTTCTTTGTGTTGTCAATACACGGATACCAGCAGTGACTCGCTCCTTCACAAGCTAAACCAGAGTTCTAAAGAGTCCTGAGGGACAATGGCATAACTTCTAAAGTCAATGCTTGACTCGCATTTTCACCCACACATAGAGTATTCACAACTGTGAGAAGGAAACCTATGAATCTTACGTTTCCAAGGGAACTGGACATGTATAAGGATGTGTAGGTCTTCAAAAGGAGAGTTTTATTTTTTCAGAATTTTGACCAAAGCATTTGTTCAGCTGGGAAACAAAAGGGTGCCCTGCTTCTAACCAGAAGATAATGGGATGACTGAATTATATTGCCCAATTGTTAATATTTCTGCACACAAGTAGCAGCCTGTGTTAGTGAAGCGAACTCAGGCACACTGATTTATTTAGAGACAAAGAATCTCATATAGGATGGCTGGGGATGAACTACATAGGCCATTAGTGCTTACTTTTGATGTTGGTAAGAAAAAGCTATGATAATGGAGGGCAGGGGCAGGCTGGCTTCAAAATACTTTGTAATTACATTGTAATTTCAGTGTTTCCGTAACTGCACTGACCTTTTCATGAAGGTGGTATTGATGTGTGAGGAGGACAAACCTTTTACTCACTTCAAATTTAATTATAGAGGTTTTATTGTTTTTTTTACCGGCCAACAGACTACATAGAAAGATGATGTGGGTTTAAAAATAAATGTTTTACTTAAACATTTTTTAAAATTTTGAATTTATCATCTGTACCATTAAGTGTCACTGTTAAGGTAAAGTGGTGAGCAAAACTTACGTTACTTTGATCCGTGGCATTAGAAATGACCATTTATACAATTAAAGGCTCCCCAACAAATGGCTGTCTAGTTTGCATTTAAATACATCTAGCAGAGGAGAGCCACTACCCCGCTTCATAACTGGATCAATTTGCAAACTACTCATATTCTTATGAAGTTTGTTTCTAATATCCAGCTTATTCCTGCCTTCCTAAACCTAAATCTATTGTCCCATATCCCAGTGCAAGTCTTGATTTTCTGTGTGACAGTCTTAGCTATTTGAAAAACTCTACCAGAATCTTTTCTTCACAATTATTTCATCTGTCTTTATCAGACTTAATTTCTAATTTCCCAATCATCCTTACTTCTATTACTTATGCGCGTTATATTGATTTTACATTTTTATTATTAATGAACAGTGTGGCACTATTGTACCATTCTGAAGGCTGTAATAATGGACTGGAAACTGGAAACTTAAAAATTTTTACAACCTTATGGTAACCAGGTTGGGTTGCATGCATAATTCTGTATGTTTTTAATTTTTTAAAAAATCATCCATGCTACTTCATAGCCTAGCCTCCTCCACATACTGCAACATATCTGCTTACAAGGCCTGTGGGTCACTTTTAAGCACACAGTTAATATGAGCATTAATCATCTTCTCTAAATCCCCTATAAGTGTCATTTATATTGAATCATCATTCCTGTGCAATAACTCAATAGGGACTATGTTCATTCACTGTACCTCAAAGGCAACAACCACAGTGTCAAAATCCTTATGCTATTATGTCAGAAAAAGACATCCAAAATGCTTAAACACAGAAATAAACTTAATTTCATGCTGGTCTTTTAAGTATACAAGCAACTTTGCCTAGCCTGAAAGCTGATGGCTAATGAGCTTGGAAATAGGAATATGTATGTTTTTACCTTTTGTGTGCAAGAAATCCAATGCACAGGCAATGTCTCTCACCACCTGGCTGGCCTCCCTCTCATTAAAGTGCTTTTGCTTCTGTATATGAGTCAGGATAGAGCCTATAGAGGAAAGACGGCAGGTAGATGCTTTTAGGCAAAACATCTGAAGATATCAAACTCTATAATAAGTATAGACATATTTGTGACAACTAAATTGCCCAGGTTCCTATCTCAACAAAAATAGCAGCAAAGGTAATTACAGAAGAGAAATTGATTTTACAGCCACCACATCACAGCTCAACAGGTTAGAGACCATGCAGACTGGTCTGTTTTCTTCAGAAACAAGTGTGACATTTACTCCAAAGTTGTTTATACAAGATTACTATTTTAATCAGGAATGAAAGGCCAAAAGTTTAAAGAATGTTCACATTTTCTGAACCTCCCCCCCCAACATCAAAGACGAATTTTGAATATATACTGTAGATGTGCAGATTTTTACTGTGAAATTGTATGATACTTTGTCACTGCAGAGAGGGACACATAATCTGTTTCCTAACTTCATATTTTTTATATCTGTGACCAATTCTCAAAACTAAAAAGCACAAGTTATCTGCACTTTACTATAATGTAATTATTCTGAGTGACTTCAATTCATTTTTTAAGAACCATCCCAATATTATCTGGATAATATTTCAGCTTCATACGTGAGTACAATAATAATCTTTAAAATAGGCTATGAATGAAAATCCAAATGTTATGTAATAGAAGATAAAACTACATATTTCTGTGAAAAGTTTGAATGATTAAACTAAGGTGGGTCACTGTTATAATAAAATTGGGAGGGGGGCAGAGACAAAGGAAGGGGAATACATACTTACCTCCTCGCAGCTTTTCAAACACAAGGTAGTACTTTACACTATCTTCAAAAAACTCTATTAATTCCAAAATGTTCCTTAAAAACAAGGCACAGGTGATCATGCTAAGTCTTATTTTCTTAGAACATCAAAGGCACAAGTATCCCCCAAAGTTTTATTTGAAATATTCTGATGTTTTCAGATAAACAATAAAATAATCACATTGGTCTAATCCTAAAATCATCAGTATGACTGTTTCTAAAATTAATCAGTATCTTTAATAAATATGAAAAATAATTCACTTGTCTTCGCTCTTTTCATTCCCAGGCCTGCATTATTAAATAAATATATAGGAGCCAAAAGGACCTGAAAAATTTTGGTAGAAGCAGCTGCTTCAAGTCTACCCTTTGTGCTTTATCAACATAATTTACTGAGGGATGTTATTTGAGCTCTGCTTTCTTCACATATACCAAGAATAAACAACTGCTGCCAATCTTATTTTGTGGAATTTTTAACATACAAGGTTTTATTAATACTGTAATACTTACTTATTGCCCTGACACTGATACAATGTTTCCACTTCTCGAAATACCCGACTCCGACTATGTCCAGCATTTTTTTCAATTATCTGTTGCAAAAGTAGAAAGTTTTTTTTAAATGAAAAACTTCTTGCAGAATGAATATTGCATTATATCCAATTCTGTCTGCCTGCCAAAACTGGGTTTTATTGACAGATCAAAATCACTTCTTGCACCACGTTACAGATCCACTCAATCCTGAAACCTCCAGATGAGCTTTCAGAAGCCTTCATGGAACATTGGGAATAAAAGTGAGGGAAATTCCTGTTGCAGAAGTAGAAAATTTTGCATGATGCAAAATGTTGCCAATGACACAATCTTTTCATTTCAATATGTTGAAGGGGGAAAAAATGGTTAGAGCTAGTATCGTTTGGGGAACTATGGCCCTTTTATGACTTGTGGATTTCAAATCCCAGAATCCCTGCCTCAGTTAAAGTCCATAAATCATAAAGGGCCCATAGTTCCCTACCTCTGAAATCGTAATTAGTGTAGTTAATAACTGGGTTCTTGTAGGTTCTCACAGAGGAAATCACATTTTTAAGCAATAATGCTCTTAATCAAAAGGAAAATTGTGATGCTTTTTTCCTCACCTTAACTGCATATTCCTTTCCAGTCTGCAAGCTAACTGCTCCTTGAACCTTGGCATAGGAGCCCTCACCAAGCATCTCTGCAGTGAGCTTATATAAATCTGCCAAATAATAATAATAGTAATAATAGTAATAATAATAAGAAACTATGCGATTATGGATGAAACATGTAACAGTGATACCCACTGTCATCTGGACACTTGGTACCATGTCTAAGAATTTTGCAAAATACATCAAGAAGCTACAGCTTCCTGCTCTAGCATCAGCGAAGCAAAAGACTGCGCTACTAGGAACAACATACATTTTAAGAAGATACTTGGCTGATACCTAGGATGCTGGCAGCAAACCCGTATCAACCATCAGAGCCAGTCAATGATATTTGTGATACATGTTTAAATGTTCAATTGACTGAATTTCATGTGTAATGAATAATAGATAATAGATGATAATAATAATAATAATCCCATATACAGAAGGAATTAACAGTGGACAATTCAGTAAACTTAGTGCCGATAATACATTTGCTCCTGAACAAGAAAAAGTTCATCAAGAAATTAAAGACGACAACATGGAAGAAAAGTTTATCGGTTTTTCATATGGAAAACATCATTTCTGAAAGGTTGTGATCCCCTCTATTTTATCTTCTAGATTTTAATTGCTTATGGTTCTTCCTTTTCAATTATCTTGGAATAATATCAATGAAATATGAAATCATGCTATGTGAATTTCAACTATAGGTAGTCCTCAATAACCACAACTGGAACCAGCAACTGTCGCTAAGTGATACGGTCATTAAGTGAAACATCACGTGACCACAAAGGATTTACAACATCAGTTCAGCCATGGTCAATAAGGAAATCACTTCTTGAGATATCGCATGACTTGTAATTTTACTGCCAGCTTCTCCACTGACTCTGCTTGTTGAAAGCTGGATGCGAAGCTCGCAAGGGACAATCACGGGACCACTGGATGTTGCAATGGCCATAAATCTGGGCTGGTTGCAAAGCACCTGAATGGTGATAATGTAATGTAACCTGCAATTCTGGTAAGTTCACGGACCGGTCATAAAATTACCTTTTCAACACTATCACAATTTCAAATGGTTGCGAAACAGGGCTGTTGTTAAACAGGGAGTATCTCTATTTTGTTCTTCTTCAGCAAAGCCAAACAAGGACAATGCACAAGAAGTAGAAAAATGTAAGAAGTTGTTTAAAAGAACTTTTAACCCAGTGTTTCCAACTTTAAGATTTGTAAGCTTGAATTCCCCAGCTACCCATGGTGACTGGCGGATTCTGGGAATTGAAATCCTACACCTTAAAAGTTGCTGAGATTGAGAAATACAATCAAATCAAAGTGCAATATTCTTACAGTATTCCTAAACTAAGACTACCATAGAAGATTGAAAACAAGCAAACAAATCTACACAAGACCAAAACTACACCCCCCCAAAATCCAAGCAGTTATAAATCCAACCTTCAAACCTTCCAGGGAAATGATCTGTAGCTCTTGTCCTCTTTTTCTTTTTCCTTTTGCCATTGTCTGATATGGGAAGAGGCTGGCTGTTGATTATCTCTACACAACAGAAAAAGTACAGCAGATCACGCTTCTGTTTACAGCAAATATGTGAGAGAGTAGTATGACTTCATACTCTTAAATCTCTAATGTTCTCTTTTAATCTCCCAATGTAAACCACTAAGGGGAAGCGGTGGCTCAGTGGCTAAGGCGCTGAGCTTGTTGATCAAAAGGCCGGCAGTTCAGCGGTTCGAATCCCTAGTGCCATGTAACGGGGTGAGCTCCCGTTACTTGTCCCAGCTTCTGCAAACGTACCAGTTTGAAAGCACGTAAAAAATGCAAGTAGAAAAATAGGAACCACCTTTGGTGGTAAGGTAACAGCATTCTGTGCGCTTTTGGCATTTAGTCATGCCAGCCACATGACCACGGAGACGTCTTTGGACAGCACTGGCTCTTCGACTTTGAAACAGAGATGCGCACCGGCCCCTAGAGTTGGGAACAACTAGCAGATATGTGCGAGGGGAGCCTTCACCTTTACCTTTAAACCAGGGGTGAAATGCTCCCGGTTCAGACCAGCTCAGGCGAGTAGGTAGCGATGGTGACGGGCAGTTCGGAGAACCGGCAGCAAAAATCCCTGCCCCCACCCCCCATGCCCAGCTGAGCCGCGCGATCATCAGAACTTTTTTTCTTTTGAATGGCTCTGACGAGCCAAGCTCTGACGATCCCAGCTGAGTTGCCTGATCGGCAGAAGGTTTTTTTAAAAACCCTCTGACGATCAGGCAACTCAGCTGGGATCGTCAGAGCCTTTTGAAAGCATTTTTTACATGGTTTTACATGTAAAAAATGGTTTTAAAAGTTTTAAAAAATTGGCCACGCCCACCGTCACATTACCCCCCCCACCAAGCCACGCCCACAGATCCGGTAGTAACAGATTTTAGATTTCACCACTGCTTTAAACCACTAACAAAAAGGTAATATTTTTGATCATATCCAAGGAACACTATTTTCAAGGTATAGGGGCACAGCAAAAAAAAAAGTAACAATAAAAAAGAATGTAGAAAATGTCTGTACAAATGATACAAAACATGGGGTTCCCACATAGCACGTTGTAGGCCCATTTGGAATAGTTTTTTACCATTATTTTTCGCTATTTCAACTGTTAAAGCCAAGAATAGGACTTTTTTGTTCAGACACTATAAAATAATAAGCCATAATGCCTGGAAGGGGAGGGGTGAGCGAAGGAATGGCTTTTTACCAGGTTGTATCAACTCCAGGCAATGGAGCTAAAGAAAAGAGACTATGCAAATTACAGTGTGAAAAATCAGCAGGACACTAAAAAAGATACTTAGAATGCAAAAATCCATTCAGCAGAAATATTACTTTACAGTATATAGCAGTGATGGTTAACCTTTTCGGCACCGAAACCCAGAAGGAAGCTGCCCAGGGCGCATGCAACCCCCCCCCCCCAATGAACTTCCGGTGCACATGGCTGGCCGGCACACATGCTCACGCAGGAAAACGGAAGTCCAGCTCTTCCATTTTCTGGCACTGTCGCATGCAAAAAGGCCAGTGGATCGTCGCACGCACATCCACGCCAGAAATCTGGAAGAGGAATGGGCGACGCCACAGGTGCCAGGCGACATGGCTCCGTGTGCCACTTCGGGCATGCGTGTCATAGGCTCGCCATCACGGGTATATAGTATGAAAAATTTCATAAAAGCCCAAAAGGATGGCAGGAAAAAGGTCTGGGTGGGGATTTTTTTTTTTTTGGCAATTGATTCTGAATTTTTTAAAGTTAATGGTATAGTGTGAGACTTTCGTCCCCGTGGAGAAATGTAATTTTTGCTGCATGTCCATCGAATGGATTTTTTTTTTTTTTTTGAAGGCCTGTCTCCATTTTAAAAATACTGAATTCAACTTGAATGAAATGCTGCAGTGGTACAGTAGTTTATAATAATAACTCAATATGCTTTTTAATTTATGATTAATAACATTACTGATGCTCACAAGAATATCATAAAAAGTCTTAGAGAATGATTTTTCCTTCATATAAGCACAAAAAGCTTCCACATACTGATTTAAGATTAGTTCCCATCATTTCTACAAGTATTTTTTAATCTTCGTGTCTTTGTAGACAAATTGAAAGAATTAAGTATTCTTAATTTTTTTTATCAAATGCAGGATAAAATACATGTGAACAAATTCATCAGAAACTAAAAGACAATGAGTGTCTTAACATGCTGTACGAAGACCTATTTGGTTGATTTGGGCATATTATGTTCTGTCAATCTAGGAAACCAGCTTATTCAGTAAACCAAATTAAAATAAACCGTCATTTGATACAAAGTGTAAACTGAAAGCCAGTTTATGGGATCCACATAAAATAATTTTGATATCATTCTAATTTTTCTACATGATTTTTTATTTTTCCTGAATATTTTTATTTTTATTTCTAAAAGGTAAATGTTATATTTGTTGAATGGCTACTAAACGTATAAAGTTTAGTGAACTGCAAAGGTGTTTTGAGGTTTATTTGCAGAAAAGAAAGAAGTTTTTAGCAAACGTATTGTTAAAAGAATTATTTATTCATTAAGTGAATTAAAAATAACTTCCCATACCAAGTTTGTCCACTCAGGAAATTACTGTTTTATTAAGTTCTGACCAATCTTGGTCCAAGAATGAAATGATGAAATGATAACAGGTGTTGAAGCTACAGGAACCTTGTAGGCAAGTGATCATGCAATATTGGAATTCAACATTATGCAAGCACAAGCAATACAACAAAGTCAAACTAGAGTCTTGGACTTTAAGAGAGCCAGATGTTATTCTGTTAAGAAATAGATTTCTTTTCTACAGTATCTATACTGGGTTAGCCAGTGTAGAGGCTATTTCAATCAGTTTTTCCCATCTGACACATCAAAGGTTAAGCAGCTTTCTTTCACACCAAAAAAAAGCTTGACTCATTGCTATGTCCACGTTGTGCTCAGACAGCCATAAAACAAGTGTTACTTTTGCTATTTATTCTGCCTGTGGTTTTAATCAGAAATGCAAGACATATCCTTGTATAACCTTTACTTTCCTAAAATACTTTCTGCTAGAATGAACCAGAATGACCTTGCCATTTTTTTAAAATGTGTAAGATGGCAATCAATTGTTTTACCACAATGTAATTATTGTAGCACCTTCCCTTCTAACGTATTTTGTAGTAGGTTTGCTTTAAAATTATATTAGTTTTATAATTTTATAAAATTAATATAATTAATTTTGCTAGGAGCTAGGAGCAATCGGTATTCATCTTCAAAAATATCTAAGGAAACTCAAGGAAATTAGTAGAGCCTCATCTGGACTGCATTGCAGCTGGCTCTTGGAAACTGTATGGACAACTGTCCACAACTCTGACCTGTATGCCCAGAAGCAACCAACGCTTCCAACATTGCACTAGCAATGAACACATTCATTCCTCTTGCCCATTTTTATCCCCTTCTTCTCACGCCCCCTCAATCTTACCAAGCATAGTTGCTTTTGCTATGCTATCATTTGCTGCATTAGACGCCCCCACTGATTTAGCTAATGCTTAACTAAAAAAGACAGAGCCATACAAAATGAAGACTTGATTTAGCAGACCTTGACCTCTAGTTTGTAGTAGAGGAGAACCATTTGGTTCTCTCTGCTGCCATCTAATGGTTATCTGGGCTTCTGCAGTACAGGTAGTGCTCAATTTACAACAGTTCATTAATTGACTGTTCAAAGTTGCAATGAAAAAAGTGACATGACCATTTTTCACACTTAACAACCATTGCAGCATCCCCATGTTCACGTGATCCAAGTTCAGACCCTTGGCAACTGACTCATATTTATGATGGTTGCAGCATCCTGGGGTCACGTGATCACCTTTTGTGACTTTCTGACAAGCAAATGGGGAAGCCAAATTCACTTAACAACTCTGTTGATATCTGAACAACTGTAGCGCTTCATTTAACAACTGTGGCAAGAAAGGTCACAAAATGGGGCAAAATTCATTTAACAAATGTCTCCCTTAGCAACAGAAATTTTGGGACTCAATTGTGGTCATAAACCAAGGGCTACCTGTACATTTTGTTCAACTGGTATTCTTGAAAATATTGGGCAAGGTGTGGGTGGCAAAGAGAAGCCTTGCTTCCTCTGTCTTCACTATATTTATATCTCTGAGTAAACTACTTTTAAGCATAAATAATTGACATATTGATAAGCATATATCAATCTATGCCATCAGAAACAAAGATCTTTTATAGAATAAGTTTCCATAGTTTCCAACATTTACCAACACTGATAGAGCAAGCTACTGTATATAAACAGGAAGCAAACCAGGGGTGAAATCCAGCAGTTTCTGACAGGTTCTGGAGAACCGGTAGCGAAAATTTTGTGTAGTTTGGAGAACCAGCAAATACCACCTCTGGCTGACCCCAGAGTGGGGTGGGAATGGAGATTTTGCAGTATCCTTCCCCTGCCACACCCACCAAACCACACCACGCCCACCAAGCCACGCACACAGAACGGGTAGTAAAAAAAATTGAATTTCACCACTGAAGCAAATTCCACACTTACTTGCACTGGCGATGTTACCTAATCAGGTAATGAACCTCTGCAACAACCAAGCACAGACAGCACCAAGAACTCCACACTAAGGTCAATATATTGAACACTTTAAGGACAAGACGCACCCAAGAAATAAATCTCAGCTCAATGGTTTAATATTCAAAGCAGATACCTGATTTATGCTGGATGGGTTTCATTGAATAGAAGGCTGGTGGAGCCTGGCAACACGTTTCATTCATAAATGAACTTGGTGAAGGATTACTTTGTGACTGAAAGTAAACAAAAAAGTCTCTGTTTAGTTCTCCCAATTAGTTCTTTCTGTGCTCACTCTGGCCTAGAAGAGGAGATACAACAGATGACAAATCTGTTCTTTATTAATCTATACAAAACATTATGACTTGTTTGTTGTTGCAGAATTACTATATAGAGTTTGCACATACAAAGTAGACCGACAACAACGTTTCTGCCCCCTCCCTGTTCATTTCTTCTCTATCTCATGTTATATATTCATCAGGAATAGATCTCCTTAATGTTGTTAACCATATTCAGTGGCAACACAATTTGTATTAGTCATACCATGATACTATGGGGGTGGCAACAATTTGAGACTATAATAGTTATACTTTAAGAGTTCACAACTTCCAGAAGAGAGTTAAAACATTTTCAATTAACTTCTACATCACATTACTTGATCTTTCAACTGCTCGATATCAAACATACTCTCCATTTATATCAAATATGCACTGTCAATATATATATACTATACTCAAGTATATATACTGAGTATAACATAACCCAGTGTTTCCCAAACTTGGCTATTTTAAGATGCATGGACTTCAACTCCCAGAATTCCCCAGCCAGTATGCCTGGTTGAGGAATTCTGGAAGTTGAAGTCCATACATCTTCAAAGGGTCAAGTTTGGGAAACGCTGACATAACCTATACATTCCTATACTAGAAACACAAAGACTTCGACTTCTGAGCATGATTCCAGGTGCTGGTCCATCACCTATGAAGCCCGACATGGTCACCTCGGGTACTACCTGTGTCCCATAGTATCTGCCCAGTCAGTTTGATCTAGCAGGTTTGGCATGCTCTGGGTTCCATCAAATAAGAATGATATCTGTCAGGACTCTAGGTGTGTGATTTCTCTGTAGCAGTACCTGTCCTCTGGAATGAGCAGCCCCACAAAATTCAAATGGATTCCTATCTACTACTATTCCACAGAACTTTAAATACCTGGCTCCTCATCCAGGCTTTTGATGAGGATGACTGATACCACTTCTTCAGACCGGATCGCCCGATCCGGTAGCTATGGCGGCGGGTGGTTCGGAGAACCAGTAGCAAAAATCCCTGTGCCCCACCATCACCACCATGCCCAGCTGAGCCGCACGATCATCAGAGGCTCTTTTTTTTTACTTTTAAAAGCATTTTTTCTACAACCTCTTCCAAAGAAAAAATGCTTTTAAAAGTAAAAAAAAAGCCTCTGATGATCGCGCGGCTCAGCTGGGATCATCAGAGGCTTTTCAAAGCATTTTTTTCTGCAACTTCTTGGCCCGAAGAGATGGTAAAAAAAAATGCTTTGAAAAGTCTCTGACGATCCCAGCTGAGTTGCCTGATCAGCAGAGAGGTATTTTTTAAAATGCCTCTCTGACGATCCCAGCTGAGTTGCCTGATTGGCAGAGGCTTTTCAAAGCATTAGAAAAAAATGCTTTGAAAAGTTTTTTTTTTAAAGTTGGCCACGCCCACCCAGTCACATTAACACCCCCCCACCAAGTCACGCCCACAGAACTGGTAGTAACAAATTTTACATTTCACCCCTGCCTCCAGGTATCCTTTCTTTGCCTTCATTGTACTAGCTTGTACTTTTTTTCCTTTAATTTTGTTCAATCAAAGCAATAGTAGCATTGATTTCTCTTCTTAAATGTGGTTTAACAATTGTAAACCATCCAGATTCACTGGGTGATGAGCAGCATATACTGTAAATTTTATTTTACTATATATACAAAAATGTGAAATCTCTGTTACCAGTTTTTAGCTAGTCTTGGCACAAATGGCCAGAGTCAAATGATCATACTATGGATATACAGGTAGTCCTCGACTTATGACTACAATTGAGCCCAAAATTTCTGTTGTTAAGTAAGACATTCGTTAAGTGAGTTTTGCCCCATTTACGACCTTTCTTGCCTCAGTTGTTAAGTGAATCACTGCAGTTGATAAATTGGTAACCTGGTAGTTAAATGAATCTGTCTTCCCCATTGATTTTGCTTGTGAAAAGGTTGCAAAAGGTGATCACATGACCTTGGGACACAGCAACGGTCATAAGTATAAACCGGTTGCCAAGCATCTGAATTTTGATCACATGATCATTGGGATGCTACAAAGGCCGTAATTATGAAAAAAAAAAAGGTCATAAGTCACATTTTTCAGTATCATTGTAACTTTAAACGTTTGTCACTAAACAAACTGTTGTAAGTCGAGGACTATCTGTATTAGGTGAAGGTCTAGCTCTCTGGAAAAGTCTACAATGGTGAGAATGGTGGAAGGAAAGAGAAAAAGATGACCAACAATAATGTGAATGGACTAAATTACAGCAGCAATGGACACATTGTTGGAAGACCTAAAGACCAAGTTGGGAACAGAATGTCATGGAGAAAATCTATCTATGTGGTTTATTTATAGTTGGTTGCACAGTCAGCCAAATGCTTAAACTGCATTTAGCATTTATTTCCAACTATCAAGTCCTTCACAATGACCTAGATAAAAAAAGCCAAATCCAGTCTAAACATCTGGCTGACTGTGAAATATTATCAAATATTATTAACTGGTGTTGGCCTTCGTGCACATCAAATTCTTCCCAAGAACCTAGGTTGACATAATATATCCAGTTCAGTACATGTGCACATCCAAGCAGAGTGACCTTTTGTAACAGACAGATGGAAATTTTGTCAATGCACAAATTTTCTAAATGCTGTCCAATATATTTTTGTATGATACCCAGTGTGCTGACCACCACTGGGACTTTATATCATAATCTTTCAACCCTGATTTTTAGATCATGCTACTTGTGAGCTTCAATTCTTAGTCTTCTATTCTACTATTCCAGGGGTGTTGCCACATCCATAGTTTCTTCTTTTTAACCAGAGTTAAATCTGATGTGAGCCAAGACTTTATCATTTTTTTTATTTGAAAACCCTGTGATATTTTAACCTATTCATTTTCAACTATTTTTTAACTAAATATTCCCACCGATTTTTCATTAATGGCACATAATTTTAGAGATGTTCCAGAGAATCATAGTGACAGAGTTATAACATTCATAATCAGTTTGTGCAATCTTCTTGCATGAGCTGAATATATAATCTATAGCTTCTTCTGCCTCTTTGCATAATCTGCATTTTGAATCATTTAATGATTTTTCAATTCTGGCCTTGATTGCATTAGTTTGAATAGCTTGTTCTTAAAAAGCCAAAATGAAGGCTGTTTTCGGTTTCTTTTTTTAATGTTTCAGTTTTAAACCCATTGCCAGGTTTTATCTTTACCCATTTTCCACTCAATTTTTTTTAGAACTTGACCGTGTCATTCTATTTAAAATAATCGAATCTTGTGTTTATTTAGTTTTATAAAAATTATTCCACCATGAAAAAATCATTTATTTGGGCTAATCATTTGCCTGCTTTGTAAGTCCCACTTGTATACATTTTATTGGAAAACTGAATAAAGAATGATAAATTTTCTAAACACTGGAATTCAATGGCACTTTAGAGATTGAGGTGAGAGAATTCATTTCTGAGAAATAAGTCCCATTTAATTCAAAAAGTTTTGTTTCAAATAAGTATGAGGATTTCTGCCTTAAACTTGTTTTTCAAGCCCACCTATTAAATCGTTCCAGCCAACTGGTCAGAAAAAAAGAAATTAAAGATATACCAGCTGTTTTCAATCCACTACCCTCCAGATTTAGACTACAACTCCAAGTATTCCCATCATACATGGGGTATCGCAAGCCTAGATACCTGTACCTACTCCAAAAAGCACACAAAATTGATTCCGGAAACAACTGTTGAGCAGAAAAAGTTAGGCCTCTGCCATCTACCACCAGGGCATTATCTGTGTTACTCTACCTTAATATTTGTATCATGAGATGGAGTTCATTAAACCTGGTTCAGGATTTTTGCAGAGTTATGAAATTTATTGAAGGGATAAGTAAGGTGCAGTGTCATGTAAAAGATGTCGTAAGTTTATAAAACTTCAGCTATTAATCATACTGAATCACCAGAGGTTTATAGTCTTCATGATGTCCAAACACATTTAATGCCAATGTACACTATAATGGTTAGGTATTAGGCAAGCATGACACAGAAATTGCTTCTCTCACTTCACTTTGCAGTGGAAAAATCTCTTCTGGAAGAGTACATTCAGTTCTGGTCACACTTAAAAACCAGACATGAAGCATCTGGAAAGGATAAATAGTCTGATAAATGAGACATACAAAGCTTGACTGAGGGTGCACAGTTCAAAGAAAAACAATAAAATAAAGATTTGCAAACAGTTTTCCAAAGCATGGTTAATCTTGAAGGTTATATTTTTATTGGCTAAAGCAACCTCAGATAGACTATTAGGAATAATTTAAGAATATTAGCAGGCTGAAGTCTGTATTTACAGTATTTATTGACTGCCTTTTATTTACAATGTATACACATTATAATATGATAATATGACAAATCTTCCTCTTCCCTTGATGTTTAAATTAAGTACAATATTTTGTTGGCCAGACTTAAGGAATATTCACTGTTGTGGTATTTCAGGAATAAGAAAATAATGTCCTTGGGAGGGAGGGGATGTGTCTGTCTGTCTGTCTGTCTGTCTCCCTCCCTCCCAAGAAAAGTGAAATAGTTTTGGTTAGGATTTCTATTTCTATGTGTCATAAACCTTCATTCAACTGTAGCAGTCTCTGGAGAATCATCTCTAAGAATAGAAAGAATCAACAGCAAAAATTTACCAGATTTTTTCCCCAAAGCTTAACTATAACTTTTTTAAAAAAATAACATGGAACAGGAAAACATCCAAACATCCATGTGAACCTAAATAGTTCTAACACAAACAACTGGATGTTCTTTGCATTTTACCGTAATGGGACTAGGGAAACTCTTCAGGTCCGAACTATTATTGGGCCTCGTCAAAGTAGACATCTGGAAATAATGAAAACATCAGAATTAGCCCCAACCTTTAGAAAACCCTTAATATAGCTGAAATTCTCAGAATGCTATCTCCTTAGATGGAATCCACAAGATTTGCAAGATACCATTGTGAAAATTGAAGAGCCTGTAGTACAGTGGACTAAAGCACTGTTATTAATAGATTAACATCTGCTGCTTGCAATTACTGCAAATTCAAATCTCACCAGGCTCAAGATTGACTCAGCCTTCCATCCTTTCAAAGGTAGGTGAAATGAGAACCCAGATTGTGGGGGCAATAAGCTGACTTTGTATAAATATACAAAAGTATGAAGGCTATTGCTTAACGCATTGTAAGCCGCCCTAAGTCTCCGGAGAAGGGCGGCATATAAATTAAAGCAAAAAATAAAAATAAAAATTGAAGATAATTTTATTCCATTACTGGAAGACATAGCCAACACAAAATTTTACCAGGTGATTTATACTGTATTATATCAGTTCTTGATATTCATTAACTTAGCGTAATGATTTTTGTGATTTTTTTTTTAGTCTTTTAAAGCAATATATGCAGTTAATTATGTTTAATTAATGATGCCCTAACCTCCATGAAATTTTTAAATCCCTGGTTCATTCATCTATAGTTTCTTCATCCTTTCTTATCCTTTTAATATTATTTAGATACCATCTTTTAATAGCTAACAAAGAAGCCTCCCAAAAACAAGGACTTCTCAATAATGAATGCTCTAGCATGGTGCCTTTAAAAAAAACAATTCATTTTAGTATTGTTTACATAATAGGTTTAAAGCAAAAAATGCATGCATATACGCAAATGTATATGCATTTTGCAAGAAGCTAATTTATTACCAAACTGCTTCTCTACTATTTTTACCATGTTACAGATACCTGTTAAATCCAATTTAACATATTTTACATTTTCATAGAGTAAGCTTCTACAAATATGAAGTACTCTTTGAGGAGTTTATTTTGATGGTTGTGGGAAAATAAACATTAAAAGGAAGGAGCGGAGGGAAATAAAATGAAAAAGATCAAATAATAATTGCCAATAAAAGTGGCCATTCACAAAACTGTCATTTGATGTAATATAGATATCTTTGCATTGTGAGCATCTTTTTCATTTTATTTCCCTCTGATCTTTAATTTTACTATTCACTTTCTCATAACCATCAAAGTAAATAAATTGCCCAAAGAGTACCTCATCTTTATTAGAAGAGTATGATTACTCTATGAAAATGTAAAACACAATAAATTGGATTTAGCAGTATCTTTAACATGGTAAAAATAGTAGAGAAGCCCTACGTGTTAATCAGCTAAAATACGATTAACTTTCATAATAAATTTAATTCAGCTTGCTTCCATTGAAGCTCCACTCAAATATTTTGCTCAAGGATGGCCTCTTGAGAGCTATAATATAGAATTAAAATGTATTTAATTATGAGACATATGTCATAGATGGCTCACAACAAAATCATTAAAACGTAAAAATGCTTTTTATCCTTCCTTCCATGGCACCATGAAAACGCATATCCCATACTCATTGGCTCATCCCCATCCTAGTTCAGAGCTTTGGAGAACTCTCTAATCTTCACAGCATTCAGGAAGGCTAACAAGATTGGGGATGGAAGGTGCAGATCTCAGGGGGAGCCTATTCCAAAGAGTCAGAGCCAGCTACAGAGAAGGCATGCCTCCAAGGTCCCACCAGATGACAGCATTCAAAGGGCCTGGAGCATCCACTTATCCAACCTGGTGGGACAGAGGTTCCCTCCAAAGAACCTGGTCCGTGCCAGGCAGTAGCTTTAATAGTGATAACCAATATCTTGAATTGCACCCAAAGCAACTGGAAACTAGAGCAGGTCATACAGCATCAGTGTAACATAGGTGCCCAGAATTCCCATCTAAATAGTCATCCATCTAAAGCAGAGGTCTTCAGACTCGGCAGCTTTAAGACTTGTGGACTTCAACTCCCAGAATTCTATGCTGGCTATGAGCTATGCTGGCTGGAGAATTCTGGGAGTTGAAGTCCACAAGTCTTAAAGCTGCCAAGTTTAAGGACCCCTGATCTAAAGTGTCCAGCCAACCCACTTAGCAGATTGTGGCTGACCTCAGCTCAGAAAAAAAAAAAAATAAGCATGATCAAACCTAGTTAGTAAACTGATGGGAGACCACCAGAAAATCCACTTTGTAGACTAGATTGGGAAATGTTTAAAAAAGAAAAAAAACCCGAGAAGGCAACAACAAACCACTTCCAGATGTTGGCCAAGTGATGTTCACATATGTGGTCATTTCATCACCAGGAGTGAAATTTGAATTGAGAACACTATCCAAGTCCAGATATTTATAATATAATAAATGTGTTTGGGTTTTGAAGATGCCATGTTTTTCTTTTGTTGTTTTTATTTCAATAGATTAACTCAACCCATGTCCATATACCGTTGTAAAATAATTTCTAAAAAGGCCTTGGCCCTTGCAAATATATCCCAAAAATTCAGACACCTCGAGACACATTTCTTCCTATAAAAATACTAGCCCAGATTTTTTTTTTAAAAAAAAAAGCAGTGTCTGAATATAAAGAAACAAATACAGCCCAGGCCCTTTAAATAATGCCCTTACAAACCCCAAGCTCAGTAGGTAGATTGGGCAATAATCTTGCAACTAGGTTCTCACAACATCTCCTTTCTTTAGAGGAGATGTGCGAGAGAGACATCTGTCTCTCACACGCACAAATCACAATGAACCCACAAGAACCTAACTTAACCTGAGAACACAGGAGTCTGGAGGAAAGCTTGCAAACAAAACGCCTCATTTTCCAACACGTGGCACCCCATTTTCTCTTTCCTCCTTCCCTCCACCGCACCCCAAACTTGCTCAACCAACCCTCTGTATTACTGGAGAAACTATAGCCACTCCCTACTCCAGGAGAAAGCCAAATGCCCCACCCGGTACCCGAACCCCTCCTTTGACATCTCCCAGCCAAAATTCTCCCCCACCCGCAGCAGCACCAGCAGCCCTGGCACCGCTCCTGCCTCCTATAGTTCTACGCCCGCATATTCCCCGGCGCTCAGTCTCTTCATCCACCTCTGCGGTTGCCAAAGGGCATCCCTTCCTACTCACAGCCGGCTCCAACAGCCACAGGCCGACACGCTCTCGACAAAGGAGGAGCTACGAGCAATTGCACCGGCCCCTTATAGAAGGTTTGCAAGCAAGGATGGGAGGGGGGGGGAAAGAGAGAGAAAGGAGAAGTATGCGCATGCTCACACTTGCCCGGGCGTGGGAATCCCGCTTTCGTAGTAGGAGAGCTTTTGGAACCAGTTCCAGGAAGGCCGGACTGGGTGCCGGCAGTGCCCATGCGCAGAGCCACACAAAAGTAGAGAGAAATGTTCCCCGCTCTCGGTTTTCTAACGTACTCGGGTGGTTTGAGGGATGAAGAAACCGGATGCTGTAAAAAAAAAAAAAAGTCCGCGGGTAGGACAGCAGAAGCTCTGTAGAGGTTGCTCCCTTTCCTGCTAGCTAGTGCTTTTAAGAATGGGGAATGGCACGGGACGCTCCTGCGCTGAGGATCTTCTCCAATTTTAGGGTGTTAAGAAGGGTCATGTGGCAGTAAGGAGTGAAAGGATGAATGCAGCGATCGAATTAGTACTCGGGATCGCCTTCTTTTTTTAAATGCCTAGTCATGCACATCACACCGGTCACACTTTCTCAGCCCTTGGCGCAAAAGCAATGGCGGACCACAAGGGATGAGTTTAAGGACTCTTGTAACTTAAAAAAAAACAATATCAAGAGAGTGTAGATGGCTCCGTGTTGTTTCTGACAGCCATTAGATAATAATATGAAAAGTATGTAGACCAGGGTTTCTCAACCCTGACAACTGAAGATGTATGAACTACCAACTCCTAGAATTCCCAGCCAGCCATGCTGAATAGGGAATTCTGGCAGTGGTGAAATTCAATTTTTTTTAATACCGGTTCTGTGGGTGGGTGTGGTTTGGTGGGCGTGGCAGGGGAAGGATACTGCAAAATCTCCATTCCCACCCCACTCCAGGGGAAGGATGCTACAAAATCCCCATTCCCCAGAGACCAGCCAGAGGTGGTATTTGCCAGTTCTCCAAACTACTCAAAATTTCCCCTACCGGTTCTCCATAACCTGTCAGAACCTGCTAGATTTCACCCCTGAATTCTGGGAGTTGAATTCCATACATTTTCAAGTTGCCATGGTTGAGAAACAAGATAAGTAACCAGGACTATGAGTTGTTGTACTTATTGTACCAATTAGGAGTCTATTTGAGGTTTGATAGTTTTATTATTGTAAGAGATTGTAACTCTTCTCTGTGAGTATCTACTTGGTGTTGATCTTAACTCTATAGTGGTCAATCTATGGATCTTAGATCGCTGATGACTCATGGAGGATGAGGAAAGGAAAGGAAAAATATCCCTTCAGTCTAGTTTTCATGAACTAAGGAAGAAAGTTTCATGGAAACTTGTCAGAAGTGATATTTTTCCTTGTATATCCTTATGCACCATCAGCGATCCAATATCCATAGACTGACCACTATAGATTTAGAATTAAGATGAACACTAAGTAGACACCCACAGAAGAAATGGCTGTCAGAATTTAAAAGATATTGACATGGAAATGCATGTACGATCTAAGTAGCAAATATTGTCAAAGAATTTTTTAAATAAAACAGAAATAAACATATAAATATTAAAATAGATAAATCTCAAAAAGTCAGCAGTTAAAATTAAACATATTAAAGGCAAAATACTACAAGAAAGTTTAGCATATGAAATATATGCTAAACTTTCTTGTAGTATAGTGGCCAGATAGATTATCTCAAGAGGACATTTCACAGATGTGGGAACCAGAAGAGGGTTCTTAAAGTCATCATGCCAAGTGTATTAGCAGAATACACTTGAGAAGAATTTCCTAAGATAATAACCAGATTATGAGAAAAGGAACTCCTAAAGGCTGATAACAGGCATATGTTTCAGGGCTAGCACAAATAGTCAAAATATCAGGAGCACTATAAAAGTTTCATATCTCTAAGCTGACCTCTCTGCAAAAAATGTTTTTCACTGCATTTCAATTCCTAATATTGAGAGTAAAATAAATACAAAATAAAATTCTGCCTAAATTGGAGCCCTATCTGAGAAATCATTTTCAGAAAAAAGAATAGTACAAAAATAACATTGCTATCAGATGTCAGAAATACGTTTTCATTATAGTCATGTTTTGGATAGAATATTAATATGCATCAAGCAGGATTCTCTCTCGCCTTCCATTCCCCCCCCCCCATCTTCTGCATGTGACATATGGATTGTTTGAATTGTTTCTTTCTGCCTTCGAATCACTGCTGTGATTATTCAGAGTGGTTGTGCAAATAGGCCATTGTGCGGTACATCTCAGCAATATGCTAATTCTAGATAGTGGTAAACATTTAATCAAAATTTGCATTGCATATATATTCATTCTTGTATTCAAATGCTTCATTGAATGTATACATTATTTTATATGTATTTCTGGGAAATTTATTTCAGACATGATATTGTGTCAAGTGAAATTTATTCTCTAGACGTTTATTTATGCTTGCAGGTTATACTTCTAAAATATAGGATGCCTGAGGATGTTTGCGAGCTCAGATAGGCCTTGGGCTTAAATTTGGAGGGTTTCAGTTTTGGAGGTTACAGTATATGCATGTTAACATTCTTAAAGCGGGAATCTCACTCGAGCAGTGAGGCAGATTTATTTACAGGAAATATATTAGAAGGAACACATAGTCTACCTCTTAGATAACTTTATCCTATCATGGGGAAAGTCAACACATGGGTTCTGTGTATTTGTCCCTGGGAAGGAAGGCAGAAGGAAATAACCTCAGCTAGCTATCTTTCAGACAAAGAGCAGACAGAGTAATAGACAATGAGATCAGTATTTCATGAGCTGCTGAAGAGTCAGTGCCATTGGATTCATGCTCCAACACTAGGAGGACTAAGGATGGTTAATTATAAATATAACTCCATGGGAGCATAAAAATACAAAGACTGGCATATTCAGTAGTCATGGAAAGCTAACTAGTGGAAGGAGAGAAAAAGATAGGAAACCCTAATAGCAATCATCTGAACCTTTCAGCAAAGGATACTATAGCACAACACATTTGTAGATCCTCCAAGAAAGATACTTTTCTGGTACCAAACAAAAATATGCATGGGATATACAAAGCCTAAAACTGCCCAATAAAGACTTGACATATTTAGTAGCCACAAATACAAAGCTGACAAAGGGAGAAAAATTAATTAGCTTGAAAGAAGGTATGGCTGCAGTGTATAGCAAGAACATTAAGGCAAAACATTTCATGCTATAATGTTGCTCTTGCTTTTGAACTTACTCCCATTTGCAAACTTGGATACCACACTGCGCACTCCTGTTAAAAACAAGTGACCAGTACTAATAATAATCCTTAGGACTAGATGCAGGGGTGTCAAACTGGCGGCCCACGGGCAGGCCACGTCCATCCCGGCTCTGCAAAGGCTCTGTAAAGGCAAAAACATTGTGATACGTAACAATATGTCATGACACAATCGAGTTTGACACCTATGTACTAGAGGCTTCAATTCATCTTGTTAGAGGATACATTGCTGAGCTTAAAACAGTGTAATTGAGTAGAATGTTCTGCTGAAAACAGTGAGATTTGCATAAAGTTGTTGCCTTGGATGCAGAATATCAGCTATCAATGCATATTAACAACATTGATTATAATTGAATAAAAGGTACGTGTATTAAGATATAGACGAGGACTGAAGTGTCTTGCTTCTATCTAAAGTATATTTTGAAGATAAGGAAGTAAGATTGAGAAAGAGAACAGTATCTTGCTTGAGCCTGAATGTGCTTCTCCTTTCCTCACTTAATATTCCTGTGAACTAAGGAAGAGCTTGTTTGAAGCATTTACTCAAATTAGTTCCTTTGGCCTAGCTAGGCTCAAACCCTGCTTATCTGACCATTGGCTTAGTAGCCACTCTTCCTCCAGTCCTTCAATGTCATTCCCTTTTTCCCCTGCAAACACTGTGGGACACAATCCTTATTTCCCTCTGTTATGAATTTGCAAGGAAAAAAACGTGTTTTGGCTTATTTTAGGAAATTAACAATACAGCTGTTTGTGTTTTGGGGAGAAAGAAGATTCAAGGGCAGCATCTTAAAGCAGCTTGATCTTGTCTGAGACTTACACAGCTGCTTCTTGTACCATCTGCAATGACCATAGACAGGTGTCTGTCGAAGGGTAAATCAGCCTCGTTTTCCCCCTGAGGTAATTGCACCTAATTAGAGACGGATGGATCTTGTTTTCCATGCTGTGTACTTTAAAGAAAGAAAAACCGAAATATATATATTCTAATAAGGATTTTATTATAAAAATAAAAAAACTAGCTAACTACATCTTTACCGGCAGCTTATCACACAGACGAACAAAAAAAGTATAAATCAGGAAATTAGAAAAGAAAAAAAAATGTAGACATGCGCAGTAGCTCAAAGTGTCACAAGACTAGTCTTATCTCTGTTGCTATAGATACGTGATAAAGTTCTCTGACAGGCTACCTTAAAGTTCAGAATGGACGCTCGGCTGACAAACACATAACGCAGTGACAACCCCTTCTTTGTCAGCTGAGCAGACATCAGGTATAGCCATCAGGTAAGGCACATCTTCTTACGCAGATATTCGTGCTGAGCTGTTGGAAGTGGTTTGTTGAGCATATCAGCAATCTGATCATGTGTAGGCACATACTGCAATTTTACAAAACCTTGTTTCACTAATTGTTTGATATTTTTATAACGGATGTCAATGTGTCTGGACCTAGAACCCGTAAAATGTGATTCAGAAATATAAACCACAGATTCATTGTCTTCCATCACGGTGATCGGTCGGATCAGGTGTGTCCAGATATCTGTGACCAAAGCATCAAACCACGTTAGAGAATTACATGCATCTCATACACAAGCATATTCAGCCTCAGTAGATGAACAAGAAACAAAATTCTGTTTTCGCACATGCCAGTAAACAGGACATCCATTTAAGAACATCATATAACCTGAGGTACTTTTACGTGATTTCTTATCACTCGCCCATGTTCCCATGCCAGCAACACTATTAGCAGCCATTCAGAAACATTAGTCTGAATTTTTGAATTATAGATTTTAAAGTGGGGCTAACCTACTATCATTTTCACAAAAATAATTGCCAAGTTCTTTTTACTAAAAAGAAAACCAGAATCTTCTTTGTACTTTATTTCACATCTCCTTCAAAGCACACATTAATTTGTAGAGTGGGAACACTGCTTTTAGAAAATAATTATACCAATTTTCTAGCAAAAGAGCAACTCACCCAAAATTTCAGTGCGCTAGCACTGCATTACCTATTTATGTCATAAAACAACTAA